TGGCGTGGAATATTTTGGAGAATTTATAGCAGATTGCGGGTTTCTCTGATGAATTCGAGGTCTCTCTGAAATTTGAAGTGAAGGGTTCCATGGGAATTCGCATCCGAAATTTGTGCACAACATTACAAAATGAAAGTTGCAATGTTCTGAGAGATGGATCAAAAATTTTTTTTGGAAATCCATAATCCATAAAGAGAGAGCGAGCGTCTTAGGAAGTAGAGGATTACGATGAGAAGAAAATTTGCTAGTGAACATTCAGAAATTAATCATACATAATCAGATGAGAATTAATCTGATTTCAACGTCACTATCGCTTCGAAGTGACTGACAGTCATTGCAAATCATGCCTGATAGCTGTGAAGTATTGATAAATATTAGTCAAGTTAACGCTTAACTGATAAGACCATCAGGATGTTATGATTTTGTGTTTGTGTGAAATGATATGGAGTGAGCAATTCCATGGCAGTAATCAAAATAATAAAATGATAATAGTATGATAATGTGTTTAAGTGTTCTATTTTATGGTTGAACGATGAAGCTAATAGATTCTATCATAATTTTGCCGAGTGAATGCAAACGGCAAAATGAAAACAAATAATACTGCATGAGTCATCGCTGCCTCATGAAACGATGTCTCTCACAACTTAACGAGTTCCCTGGATAAGTCGTGAAAAGGAGCAGGAAAAGGCGATTCGAGAGGAATGCCAAATGAGTATTGGCTTGCATGATCTGGCCATATTTTCATGATCTGGTCCAGTAATGTTCTCAAAATGTTTTCATCATAAAAACAAGAAATTCATTCGTTTTACGTCATTGGAGTTCTTATCAGCGTGTTTTTTCACTGTTATTTAAATGTCGTGATAGTGTCATGATAGTGTCATGAGCTATAAAGGAGAGCAGAGGTTTCAAATCAAATTGGTGCTTGTGCTTGAGGTGCCAGACTATGAGACTCGTTGGCCTTATATTCTACGTTATTTTTTATTAATTTTTTATTAATTAGAAACATTCTTTATCATTAATTAGAAACAATTTATCATAGGGTTTTTGGTCATGAATGAATTGAATACATCATTTGAGAAATATTGTACAGGAATGATAATGATGGGACTTTGTTCTCTAATAGATCACTTGAATTGTATTTTGGTATTTTGGACAGGCAGGCTGGCTCGGAGTCAATTGTTTTAGCCTCAGAATCCTTCTTAGATCCTTCGAATGGTTTATGCTAGTCCCGTCCGTCGCCTTTGCAAAAGATTCCGATTTATACCTGGTTTATGCCTCGTCGGAATGAAATAGGTCAACAGCGATACTCTTTTGATCATTTGACAAATTCCATCCAAATTTGCTGATGACATCCCATTGCAATCTTAAGCTCTAACTATGGATATAGCAAAAGCACCGGTTTGTAGAGAGGGTGTTGACCGTATTGTTCAAATTTGGCCTCCTCACTTAGTTCTCCTTCTTGTCATCATATGATGGAACCTCTATTCCATTAGTGAAGGCCGGATTGTGGCCATAGTAGAGCGGCGTATATGCAGGACATTCCGCATCGTCCTCGTCCTGAACGTTGGATCGTCCAGTGATACTTTCCAGATAAGTCGGAGGTGGCGGTAACCTGGAGAAAGCGTTGGGCATATAGCCTGACTCCAACGATTCACCTGAAATTCGCGAGTTTTCAGCCCAGTTTCATTGAAAATAGTTTCAAAATCACGGCTCAAGACAACCTGCAATGGTGAATTTGGATTCAGTAAACGAGATTTTAAAATTCGATGTTTTGAAATCGTAAATCTCCTGCTAGAATATTTGGAGATAAGTGCTTGCTTCTGGAAACATGGTCAAAGTTGATCAGGTCGGGAAACAAGCCGCGGTTTAACCAGCGATAATTGCCCCGATAAGCGATTGAGCTCTTCAACTGAGAGATTTTGAACTGACTCTAAACTACATCACAAATCTGCGGGATTCATTTGCTCGAAGCAAACTGTAAGATGAAACAGCAGCATATCTCACCTTCAGCCCCACCGTCGGTGGATTTTCCTGCTGCTGAATCTGAAGCGACTTTTGTCCACCAGGCATCGTTGTCTGATGGTGGAGGAGGGCGTTCTGGCGCGGTCGATGTACCTATCAGAATTGGAATCTGCAAGGAAAACAACAATCAAATGGGCAGAATTTTTGAAAAAAATGCAATGGATCAACTGGACAAGAGAAATCTGATATTTCACCGCCTTCATTTGCTTCTAAAATGAAGCTGTTCGGAAAATTTCATCAGAAAATAAACTTTCTAGTTTTCTTGTCTTACCTTTATCAGACAAATGGCGTGTTTGCTCTTCTGGTGGCGATTGAAACCAATTTCCAACTTAAGAAAATGATCCACTTTCAGTCGACCCAATATCTCAAAGTCTGGCACTAGAGCAGGAACATAGAATTCAGGCGCATATTTGTAGGTGTTACCACTGGGTATTTTCGGAATCGGCAGACCAACACCTAAAGGAAACACCAGAAATTAACAAAATCACCACAGAACAACCTAAATTAAGCTAGAGTGGGTACAAATAAAATTTCTTGCTCTTAACTGATCAAGAAGCGTGTTTGGTCGCCGTGCAGATGAGATAGCGATCATACCTGGCTAATGCAACGGTACCATTAAAATTTCGAGCATTCTCCTTTATTATCTTCAGACATCATTATTTTTTTCGGCTCCATCTCGTGCACGGTCTTCTGTTCGATGAGCAATTTCAAAGTGGAAGCTTAGAAAAATCAGTAAGAAAGCCGAGAGTAACCGAAGTAAATCGGTAACCTGACGTTTCGAAGGCACAATCTCTGGTTGCTGGACTTGGATATGTGGCAAAACATGAAGCTAACTGCACAATGGACAAGTGAGCATGCTTCACTGATTTACCAGACCTGAAAATTCCGTCATCAGAAATTCACTTCGCTGATTCTGGAGGGGGGGGGGGGG